ATCGAACTTTCCTCGTAGAGATGCACTGATTCAGTGCATCTCTATGAGGAGGTGCTGATTGGCCAGAGCTGTGTTTGACTTGTGCTTGCTCAGTCTTAGCAAATCCTATGGGGAAACATTGTGATTGGCTTAGACCACCACTTTTGATGATGCCAGCAGACAGCAGGCAGATCAGGGGCAGATGCAGCAGCTGCAGACTTGAATACAAGTAAGATGTAAGAAGTACTATGTTTAAGGAGGCAAGGGGGGCAGGAGGGCTAGATGGTGGTTTTAACACTATATGGTCAGGAATACATGTTTGTGTTTCTGTTCCTATAGTGTTTCTTTAATATCAAGCTCTGTTTAAATTTTGGTTCTTCCAATCTGTCAATCAACTCTCAGTGTAGAACACAGTACTCCAAATGTCATAGAGGTCTGTGATGAACTTTAATGACAGGGGACAGCAGGATGGGTCTCTTGCTCTTCATCACAGATATTTTCCCAGCTTACATTTCTCACACTTGCTGGGAGGACACTGAAAGGAATGACTGGTGTCACTCTGTTCTGATGGACATGTGCAGGTAGAGAAGTCAACAAGTGTGTGTCCGCAAGCAGGTTCCTTTCCTATTACTGAGCAGAGGGAGGATGGTTGTTATAAAAGTGTAACACTTATAGACCCTCCAAGAACAGAGGTGCTAAAGTGAGGGGTAATGAGCAAGTAAGGGTATAATACAGCTTCTAAAGCAATCAAATATATATTTTATCTTAATGATAAATGATATATCTATTGCTTTGGTAGCTGTTATACATTTTGTTGAATCTGGCATGACAGGTTCACTTTAATGCTTGCTTCTTCTCTACAATTAATTGCACTAGTAGTGACAAAACTTTATGAGCCTATATCAGGTGTATTTATCAAAATTTCACTGTAACAACTACATCCTGGCAAAAGTGAAATATGGTTCTAAACCCTCATGTGTGTGACGTAGAATCAATAATTTTGAAATGATAATATCTCAAAACTGTCTAAAAGGGCTAGGGATTGCATTTAATTTAAGTCAGTTGAAGGTGAAAACAGAAAATAAAAAATATGTTTGTGTTTTGCTGTTGTATTTTTATTGATATATTATTTTTTCATTTCATGTAGACTGCTGTTTAATTAAATAAACTATACAGAACTTGGTATGCTAATTTGGAGACTGAAAAATCATGTTTGACTCATACCAATTATTACTAATAAATGTTTTCAATGAACTTGAAATTGCTGTTTAATTAAATAAAAATATTTACATTGCTTGAAAAAAGGAAAGTTAAGTTTAGATAAAAAATTGCATAGTTTGAATAACTGTAAAATATAATAAAAACTTCATTGAATAACCATAGTTATAGTACTAACTAGCTTTAAATTGTGCCTGTAAAATATATAATATATTTTTTTTTATTTCATGCTATATATATATAAATATATATAGCATGAATTTCATTGCATGAAATGTGAAATATAGAAATAATAGTAGTAAAGTGAAAATGAAGTCACTTTAGTTGCAGCAGTACAGTAATTGGTTTGAGAGAGAAACGGTAAAATTTACTACTTAAGGGGGCAGAGCCTAACTGCAGAGCTGAGTGTTGCATTGCACTGGAGCTCCTGAGATTTGTAGCAAATTACACCCTATTTGGGACAGGAAAACTGAGTACAATAGTTGCAAATACCAGACAGCAGTTGGCGAACCAGCATGGGTCGAAAGACCAAAAAAAAAAACCCGACAAGATGAGACAAGGCATAGATATCGGAGACATGTGAAGACAAGCACACGGAGCTGCTAGGCCCAAGGTGGCCGAATACCTAGAGATATATTCCGAGCTATCGGACGATGTCTCCTGGGAGAGGAAACACCTGACTTACCATTTATGATGGTCACAGCACTAAAACCCCTGAGCCCAGATACAGCACCAGTGACTACTGAGGTGCTTAATAAACTTCTGGAAGACCTCCAAACAACTATCCAGTCGAACATAACTAACCTCCGCACAGATATTCAAGGGCTAACAGGACGGCTGGGCGCCCTGGAGAACACCTCTGAAGCAAATACTACCCACATTACCACCTCACAACAGGAAATCAAGGGTCTGCGGAGCCGCAATGAAGAATTTGATCGGAGATGCGCAGCCCTGGAAGACACACGTCGGGCGAACAACCTGAAGGTACGGGGCATATCAGCCGATATACCAGCAGCTGAACTGCCGCATCTTGTGTGAAGGCTCCTGACAGTGCTGTTATCAACGTGGCAGGCCAAGGCCATAAGCTTAGACGACATCTTTGGAGCCCAAAACCCCGCCAGAGCCCCAACTGTGCCTCCCCCCCCCTATAATCCACTTTTATTACAGGAAAGATAAAGCAGCAACACTAGCAGTGGTCAAAGACTGTGCCCCATACACATTTGAAGCAATGCCACTCTAATTTTTTGAGGATCTCTCTGGTGGCACCCTAGTCTGGAGGAGATCCCTCAAATCATTTACCTCACTCTTTAGGCAACAAGTCATACCATATAGATGGCGCTTCAACCACTCTCTATATGACCCGCAGGGAGCACAGGACCTGCTGCCTATGCTGGGACTTCCTCAAGATGCTATGCGGCACATGGCACCTTACGACACCATTGGACCACCGCACCGATGGGACCCAGAGAGGGTGACCGCCTTTGTACCGCGACAGTCCAGACAAGGCTCCTATGCTGCGGCCACCACCTGAAGGCCTCATAGGGTCCAATAGCAATGGTTTGCTGCTGATTAAAGTTGAGTGAACCTGGACTGTAAAGTTCAGGTTCTTACAGAACATTACGTTTTTTGGACCCAGGACCCGAACACGGACATATCAGTGTATGTTCGGGTTGGAGTTCGGTGTTCGGCAATTTAATGGCATGTTTTGAAAGGCTGCAGGGCAGCCAATCAACAAGCATTTGACTTGTGTACCCTTAGAAGCCATCACAGCCATGCCTACTAATGGCATGGCTGTGATTGGCAAGTGCAGCATGTGACCCAGCCTCTATATATAAGCTGGAGTGTCATAGCGCCGCATGCACATGAGCTCTTATTAGTGTAGGGAGAGGATGCTGCAGCTGTTAGGGACAGATTAGGAAAGAATTCTAGTGTTGAATTTGCAACAGCGATTATTCAAACTACAGCGATTATTCAAACTACAGTGATTATTTTTGTGGGTGCTATAATACTATATTTTTGTACTCTGCCCTGAGCCCAGTGCCACAGAGAGTTCAGTGCACTTGCAACTGCATGTGCGCCAGGCACATTACTTTAATCCTGTTCTGGTAGCTCAGTGGGCAACATCTAGGCATTTTTAAATACTGCATTTTTTTTGGTGCTAAATAGTACATTTGCATATTGCATTTCTTGCAGTTCAATAAAACCCTTAAATACTACTGTTACATTGTTGGTTTAAAAAAATCAAACTTGTTGGTGCTAAGTAGTATATTTGCGGCCTGTGGTACACTTCATATATGAGAGTCAAATAAAAACTGTCAAATACTGTGCTTGCAGCGCATTTTTAAAAATTAAATTTTTTGGGTGCTAAATAGTACATTTGGTGCCTACACTTCATATCTGAGAGTCAAATAGAACCATCAAATATTGTGCTTACATAGCAGTTTTAAACATTCAAATTGTTTTGCAGCTAAATCGTACATTTGCGGCCTGTGGTGCACTTCATATCTGAGAGTGTAATAGAACCGTCAGGTACTGCTGTGACATAGCAGTTTTAAAACTTTTAATTCTTTAGATACTAAAAAGTAAATTTGGTGCCTGCACTTCATTTCTGAGAGTCAAATAGAATGGTCAAATACTGTGCTTACATTGCAGTTTTAAAAATTCAAATTCTTTAGGTGCTAAAAAATAAATTTGGGGCATGCACTTCATATCTGAGAGTAAAATAGAACCGTAAAATACTGCTGTGACATAGCAGTTTTAAACATTCAAATTGTTTTGCTGTTAAATAGTACATTTGCGGCCTGCGGTGCACTTTATATCTGAAAGTCAAATAGAACCGTCAAATACTGTGGTTACAGCGCATTTTTAAACATTCAAATTCTTTAGGTGCTAAAAAGTAAATTTGGGACCTGCACTTCATATCTGAGAGCCAAATAGAACCGTCAAATACTGTGCTTACAGCGCAGTTTTAAAAATTAAATTTTTTTTGCTACTAAATAGTACATTTGCGGCCTGTGGTGCACTTCATATCTGAGAGTCAAATAGAACCATCAAATACTGTGGTTACAGCGCATTTTTAAACATTCAAATTATTTAGGTGCTAAAAAGTCAATTTGGGGTGTGCACTTCATATCTGGTGTATGTGTGCAACACTGGCTAGTTACCGCTTCTCAAGAAAGTCCAAAGACTTTTAAAAAAAGTGAAAAATAAGTGTTATTGTGATCACAAAAGCATTATTATACATTTCTATATTGTGTAAAGACACAACTACAAAGTTAAAAACCATACGAGTGATGTGTGCAATTTGGAGGAAGAGGCGCTTGTCGCACAGAGGCACCAGCACAGCATAAGAGGGAGCAGGGTGCAAAAGCGGAGCGGCCATCCGCTAGTGCTCATCGGCATGTATTATCTTTAGAATTCCCATAACGAGCCATTCGCAGTTTCACAGTCAGGGGGGCAGTCCGGTGACCAGGACCCAGACACTGTCTGGGCGGCGGTCGGACGACTGGGACCCAGTATGCCTGATGTTGAAGTTAGGAGTCACAGTGTGGAATGGATTAGCAAGGTCTGGTGCAGGGTAACCGCACACCCCCTGGTGTTGAGCACCAGCATTTGTGCGGCCACATACCAGGACCCTGCAGCTTCAGCGAGCAGCAGCAGGCGATAGTGGAGTTTCAGCTGCAGCACGCACGGGTCAGTCGCTCTGCACCAAACTTGCCCTCCAATTGATCCAAGTTAAAGGATTTAAAGTGGACTCATTACAATTACAGGGCCTCGAAAGAATAGTGTATTGTTATTTGACGTCACTACTTCCCGGCGTCAGGAGTGGGTAATTTGTGCGCCTGCTGCCTTCCTTGCATGTGGTAGCCATTTCTCAGGCTCCCTCTCTGGAATCGAACCCTGATTCCCTGTTACCAGTGGTCACCATGGTAGGTGCGGAAAATTGCATCAAAAATGGATAGGGTAGACATCCGAATGCGTTTACGCCGTCACAGGGACGAGCGATTGGCACGAGGTTATCACAGACAAGCACAGCCACCTGTCCACAGCCAACGTGGACAAGCTCACATTTATTAAAATGAACCAGGCATGGATCCCACCAGACTTTTCTGTACCTTGTGCAGAATAGACATTTATATCGGCCTCACCCAGCCATTGTTATACTCAAGTGCACTTATTCTTTTCCCAATATTTTGGGGGCTACCCCAATTAAAAAAATAAAATAAATAAAAAACAGTGTTGGCTACCTCCTCCTCCACCGCCGCTGCTTCCACCTACACCGCCACGGTGTATACCCAAATATATCAGAGCTGCTGCAGAAAGTGCAAGCCGTCTGTGTGCACTTTTGGCGTTCTCACCTTGCTGCTGCTCGCCTGTCTGCGCTGCAGCGTAACTTCGGCCTTCCCGCTAACCTGCCTCATATGCACATGTTGGAGAGACTGTGCGAGCAGCAGCAGGTGATAGCGGAGTTTCAGCTGCAGCACGCATGGGTCAGGCGCTCTGCGGAACAGCAACACTTCACCACCAATGAGTAGGCCTCCATGCGAGACCTTAGTGCCATGTTGCACTGTTTCGAGAACTCCACCAACATGGCCAGTGCCGCTGACACTGTTCTCAGCCTTACTATCCCTTCTATGTCTCCTTGAAAAAACGCTTTGGGCGATGATGGAAGAGGATGTGGCACAGGAGGAAAAGGAGGAGGCCACGGTTATCAGGCCAGTCATTCACAAGTGGCTCGGAGGGTGGATTCCTGCACCAGCATAGGCCAGGTACACAATTGTCCAGCATCTCCGCACTGTCCCATGGAAGCATTCAGCTGTCCATCTCCCAAACACTGGAGAGAAAGAGGAAGTACCCCCCTACCCACCCGCGATCCCTGTCCCTGAATGCCAGCATTTCAAAATTCCCGGACTTTGAAATGCTGTTATTCCGTCTAGTGGAGACTGACAGTTTTAAAAACCTGATGGCGTTATTGGACTGCAAGAAATGAACTGCAGGCCGCAAATGTTTCTTTTTTTTATATGTCCCAATATTTTGGGGGCTACCCCAATAAAAAAAATAAAAAAACAGTGTTGGCTACCTCCTCCGCCTCCACCGCCGCTTCCACCTACATCGCCGCGATCACCGCCTCCTCAACCTCCTACTCCACATCCACCTCCTCCTCCTAGAGCAGGGTGCAAAAGCGAAGCGGCTGTCCCCTAGAGAGTACGCCTGCTACTGCCCACCACACCCAGAGACCGAGCACACCAAAGCCAGCTCCAAGGAATTCCCTGGCGTGGCAGTTCTTCAGACAATGTGTTGATGACAAGAAACTAGTGGTTTGCACGCTGTGCAATCAAAGCCTGAAGCGAGGCATAAACGTGCTAAACCTGAGCACAACCTGCATGACCAGGCATCTACATGCAAAGCACGAGCTGCAGTGGAGTAAGCACCTCAAAAACCAAGAAAGGTCTCAGGCTCCTCCTGCTTCTTCTTCTGCTGCTGTCTTTGCCTCTTCCTCCATCTCTGCAGTGACAGTGGCACCTGACACCCGCAAACAGAGGATGTGGCAACAATGCCACCACGTCCACCACCGTCCCCAAGCATCTCCACACTGTCCCATGGAAGTGTTCAGCTGTCCATCTCCCAAACACTGGAGAGAAAGAGGAAGTACCCCCCTACCCACCCACGATCCCTGGCCCTGAATGCCAGCATTTCAAAATTCCTGGCCTTTGAAATGCTGTCATTCCATCTAGTGGAGACGGACTGTTTTAAAAACCTGATGGCATTATTGGACTGCAAGAAATGCACCGCAGGCCGCAAATGTTTCTTTTTTTTTATATGTCCCAATATTTTGGGGGCTACCCCAATAAAAAAAAACAAAAAAAAACTGTGTTGGCTACCTTCTCCTCCTCCACCGCCGCTTCCACCTACACCGCCACGGTCACCGCCTCCTCAACCTATGGGTCACTTAGTATAAACTATGTACACAATAGCAGAGGCTTGTGAAGGCCTTTTCTCCATGCATCAGGAGTTGTGCTCAGTTTGAACAATGAAAGAGAATACCCTGCACTCCAACCCTCTCTCAAATTGATAATTCTGGTGATCCTCCTGACAGCCATGCTTTAGATTTTGATTTATGTTCTTCCAAAGCTAAAATTAAAGATTTCATCTAGTGCTATTTTATGGCTCAGCTGTATTTTAAATTTTTATGTATTTTATGCTATTTTTAGTGATTTCCCTATCCACATGTTTTTGCAGGGCACTTGTCCTACTCTTACCCCCATTTTACTTCCTTTTGCAGCCCTCTAGCCCTTTCCAGGACTTTTTTAGAGCCATTTTTGTGCTCAAAAGTTCTGGTCCCCATTGACTTCAATGGGGTTCGGGTTCGTAGTCAAGATCGGGGTCAAGTTCGAGCCCAAACTCAGACTTTTTTCTGAAGTTCGGCCAAACCCGCTGAACCTGAACATCCAGGTGTCCGCTCAACTCTACTGCTGATAATATTCTTTTATCATGCTATTGTTTTGTTATGTCTCACTTACCCCTCAGTTATTTTTCTTTGAGTTAAACATTATGATATCCTAAGTAGACTGCAATAGAACTCAGTTCATATAGCACATATCGAATGCTTTATAACCTGCTCTAAAATGTCTCCCACACCCATCTGCCCTAAGCATTGGCTGGATGACACACACACAGCGATTAATTAGGCGGTTAACCCTTCTCAGCTATGTACGTTACACCAGCCGAAGTAGCTAAACAAGTGCTTAGCAAAGATGTCAGTGATGTAAATAGCCTAGCTCCCTATTAAAATAAAATTTAAAAAAAGGTATGTACCAAAAACATGCTTCTCATAACAGGTTAAAACACTTATATTGGCTTTATTTTATGTGAATTAAACCTATCTGTTCTCTCTTGCATTCTGTGTCAGGGTTCTTAATATTCAGGCAAACCTCTATAGAGGTCTGACACATACCTTTAACCGTTCTCAGTAGAATTCTACTGATTTCATTATATTTCTGAATGCTGGCCACTGTGACTCCATACCCTTTTATGAGGAAAACAATGTCACACGATGTCAATTTCGGTGTTTCCGCACATTTTGTGGGTATGGCTGCTAATCAAGGAGCCACACTATAAATAGTTAGTGCTTGGTTCTATGCCCTGTTGTGGTTCTTTACAGTTCCTAAGAGCATGTTATAGTTCTCTATTAAAAGTTTTTGTTTTCATCTCATTATTTCTGGTTTCTGTTTTCCCTGTAGCTGGCATTGTTTATTTATGTAAAGCCTGGCCACCCTACAGACTGGTATAAGTTCTTTATTGTACCTCAGTATACACTCTGCTTGTTGGGTCTCAATATCCTGACAACCTGCAATAAATCATTCTGGCTTTTTCTCTCCATGCTACTGCTGCTCTCACACAGAGCCTGCAGACATTGCTTTCCCTTAGGCACAAGGCAAGAGGAGGATTTGCTTCATAACAGACATACAGAGCACAGTCTTCAAATCTCTGTGCTGATCAGACAGTAAGTGAGAAGGCTTCTTTTTAATCTTTGATTTTAGTGTAATCTAGACATTTAGTTGCAATTGTTCAAGCACAATGTACAGATGAAATGCTAGCAAATGATTCTCCATCATTTAAGTTTAAAGTTGTATCTGTCACGACAGGTATCCTGTAAAGCGTTAAAACAACAGATGACAATGGATATCAAAGCGGATCACATGGATATCATCAATATGTCATCACATACTAATAAAATTATTACAGTTACCTAGTTCATTTTTACATGTCAGCATAAATTATAATAGTACACACAGAACATTTCAGCAAAGTTAAACCTCAGAGGTTATGGGAGTGAATAAAAAGCTTTTGTTGTTTGTTTTTAATTGATGTGTGCACTTTGGAGATCATTTAAAAGAAAACACTTTAATTGTGCATAGGCAATAGATTGTATAAATAAATATCAAATGTGAACATGATTAATGTATTTATTTTTACACATGTTAACCGTGGAGGTTTTGCCACTGCATGGTCGCTCAATAATTACTACTTATTGGAGCAAAGATTTTTCTGGTAAAACATGTTTGTTACACCTTTCAGTTCAATATTAAATAGTTTGTAGTGGCTTTATCCTTATCTTCTTTCTTAGACACAGTAATATCTTTGTTTAATGTTTTAACACTTCTGTGTGGTTCAGTTCATTGGAAATATTATATATTTACTACATTATCAAACATTTTCAAATTAATCACTATCTTCAAGATGTACCTGTCATGGTGCACATAAATTTTATTTACACGATAGAGTAGAACAATGAATCGATACATTGGGCTAGAAGAATTGTTCTTGTTTTATCACAGCAAGTAGTTGTTTTAAGTGAGCATATCTTGAACTTTTTGTAGATGACATTGAGAGGAAAGTAGAAATGCAGACACGGACACCAATATATCTGTGTAATGAAGGTGGTATGCGCTACCTTAGGACACTGGACCAAGCAGTGAAAGGGATATAGTTGGGGAGAAGCGAGTTGCACCATGTCTAGGAACAATACACGATGGTAACACTGTGGAGTTGGTAAGCATTCCACTAACATCTCCTAAAGCAATTATGATATATTCATTGCTTACAGAGATTTTACAAATTAGAATAAATCTGTTTTGCTGTGTGTTTTCTGCTTAAGTAAATTAAACGTGTGCAGGAAATCTTTGAGATTTATAAATTGTTATGATACTTCCTCCATATGTTTTATAGAATTTTATCAGCATCCATCCCAGAGTGGAAATTTGGCATTCCGAATTCTGTCAGCGTCATATGTTTGCCATGTCTGGTGATTGATAGTATTTACGTCAGGATTTAAAGTCGTTTTGGGACCCTGTGCTTGTGTGATACTGTCTAAACGAGATATTTGGCATGCATTATGCTCCTTTAGATTACATTTTATTTCATTCTTAAGGCAATTTCAGGCTTTAAAAGGCTTTTAAAGACTATAATTGTTATAGTGTGATTTCATGGGCATATGGGACCTGTCAGATTTGCACTTGTTTGGTTCATTATAATATCTGC